TAACATAGTTCCAAAATCTCGTCGTGACGTATGTTGATTGGCTCGGGGATGGCATTCAGACGAAAAAAACCCATTAAAATTTTAATGGCTTTTTTTCGTCTGAATGCCATCCAAGCCTATATTATTACGACCCAACATGTTTTTTTTTTGAGTTGGATCCGAATAACCCAAATAAACCGTACCGTTGGATGTCATTCAGACGAAAAAAAAAACCATTTAAATATTAATGGTTTTTTTTTTTTTCAAAGTTCGTTCGAGTGCTGCCAAAGAGTGAGTGTCATCGAGGACAGCAAGGGCGAACGCTCGACAAATGTTGTCAACACGCAAGGGCTGCGAAAATCAGCCGGATATCCGCCGATGACTTCAACCGCCTCTATGACAGGCTGGTTGTGCGGCGCACCAGCAAAAATAAGCGTGCGAGGAGGCAAGTGACCACTGTAGTGTCGGTTAATTCAGCTGAAGATGCCAAGGCGTTGCAACAAGCATCCGAAGCTGCGAGACTGGAAAAGACCAGGCACCAAGAGCAACTGGAATGCGACGCAAAAATCGCTAGCACAGTGAAACGACTTCGCTTCGCTAGGAACCTGCGCGGCCTCGCGCGGTTGACGCACTGTAATCCTCATCAGCTCGCTTTCCAACTCGTAGACGCGACTGAAGAGGAACAGCGTCAGATCCTATTAGTCGTGAAGTAGTAAAAGGCTCAGAGACGACGGCATGAAGAACGCACTTCGGAGGTGGAGCGGAGCATGATACTGGAAAGAATTGTTGCCAGGTGTGTTTCATTCTGTGCTGCAGCTACCACACTGTTGAATTGTATGTTGATGTGTGAACTGTGATGTACATGTAGGTTATTTCTTCGTCGCGCTGTTGGCTTTCGTCCTGACGCAGCTACAACACTAGAGGGAAAACCCCGCTTGATTGATGAACTGTTGTTCTTCTCGTATCCAAACCCCGACATTGTTATCCAGAATCGGGTACGCGGAGATAGGAAATGTTGTACCTACTCCACAAATAAAACTCGCGACCAAGGGAACAGTTGAAGACATGGTACATAATTTAATGTATTTGTGAAAATTCAACTAGGGCCTAACCTTGGACTCACCCAGTCATGTTGTACTCGTGATAGAGCTTCGACTCATGAGTAACCGAGTCTCTGTTGCCCCAGCGTATCCGTCTTTGGAGAAGGCAAAACCATGATATCCCTTCTGTAGTGTCGTCCTGTGCTGCTGGGTTCGGCCGTTGGTTGGAATGATGGAGCCACTTTTCTTGGCGGCCCTTTTCGTATGGGGAAGCCGAGCCGGTACTGCCACTGACGCGTTACTATTGTCATTCCATTGCAAAAGTTTGCGGTCAAGGTTGAATTTTGTGACCTCCTTCGCGAGATGCCAGTACTCCGGGAAGAACGTCGATTTGATGCCGTTAAGTAAATGTGCATACGAGAGTGCAGCCACCGGAACAAACAGATAAATTAACCAGAACGATGGAAGCACAAACGCTTGTTCCAGCATGAATTCCCACGTGAGATCCGAGAGGAAGTAAATGTGACTGCATACCAAGGCGACCAGGAGCCACATCAACACTGATCCAATGTAGAGAACGTAGTTGAAGAAATGGAAACTATTCTGGAACATGAACAACTTCGAGTTGGCGATAGATACAACAAGGGTGAAGACCAGGAAGCCTTCCAACCACATCGTCGGGCTTGCACCAGCATAACCCGCGCTTTGCAAGCTGTGAAGCGTGATGAACGTGATGATGACACTTTCCACAATTGCACCCACGACCCATAGCGTAAAAACACGAGTGTTGATGTCTTCATCACGAGGTCCTGTAAAATAAAGTTTTGGAAACGTCATGGCCACATCATCGCTGACATCTTGATCCAAGATCGAGAGTGCAACGATAGGGATCGCAGTAAGACAAATGTTGTACAGCTGGGTACCGCTCTCCAGGAAGAACTTCTGCCCGGAGAATCCACACAAAAGAGTGTACCAGTACTGAGCTGCGGTGAAGAGAATGTTCTTATAAAAAATGTACAGCACCAGCTGAGCCATGCGTCGGTAGTTCCAGCGACCGTGTACAAGCAGCAGACGCTGTAAAAAGCGAAACTGTGCAATTGCGTAGTCACTCGAGTTCACTGCCTGCATACCTTCCTGACCTGAAATACCGACACCAATGTGGGCTTCTTGGATCATTGATACGTCGTTGGCTCCATCTCCGATAGCGAGAGTTCGAACACCAGGTACATATTCCTTGATCAGAGCAACCATTTCAGCTTTCTGAGCTGGTGACACTCGGCACGCGATAACAGCTTTGCAGTACTGAGAGAACTCGGCCAAAAGTGGACGACATGATCCACGGAGAGCGTACATGAGAGTCTCACCATCAATGACTAGAGCCAACTCCCGCAGTTCACCTCTGGTACTCGGCGGTGAAGCAAAGTAGACCGTGACATCACCACTACGAACTCCAATTTCATCTCTCAGAGTGCTTTCGAGTATCTCTGCGGTCGGCGCATTCTTTGAATTGATGATAAAGAGCTTCATATCGTTGGTAACAAGTTGACAAGCAAAGCCGATGTTGATGGCAGTCTCCTCTTTGTCGCCTGTGAGCACCCAAATTTTGATTCCAGCAGACGCTAAATTGGCGATCGTGTCAGGGACTCCTGATTGCAGCTTGTCTTCGATAGCAGTCGCTCCTAGCAGCTCCAAGTCGCACTCGATCTCATTCATACAAGCGTCAATCTCGTTCGGGAGGTCCTTTTTGCGCTTGTCGATTTCATTTAGGTTGTTTTGGGCGTCATGGAAGCGTGTTGCCCACTCCGCATAATATGAAGGATCAATTTCACGAACAGCAATCGTAAGTGTGCGAAGTCCATCTTCAGCGTACTGGTCGATATGCCGCCGGGTGATCTCCTGAAGCTGAGAAGAAGTCGATTCTTCCTCATTGTCCTTCTCGAGAAGGCCATAAATGATCACATCAGCGCCTTTCGAGTACAAAAAGATCCGGCCGTTCGGGTGGCGAATAATGGTGCTCATGCGCTTTCGAGTGCTGTTGAATTCCAGCACGTCCAGCATCTCGTATTTTTGAACAGTTCCGTGGACTTTGACATGAGCTACACCAGGAGATCGATTCACAAATTCGTATCCAAAGAAGCCTGCACCTGCAACCAGAGCTTGCTCATCAGGAGAAGAAGCCGAAAGCGTGATTTCTGACGAATTCTCATGACGTTCCGGAATGACGGTATGGCACACCGCCAGGTGCGTGAAGAACGCATCGATGCGTCCTTGCTGAACTGATCCCGAGTTGCCTTTCATATCGTTAAACAACTCTGGACCGTCGAAGTTCACATACGGCACCTTGGGTCCTTTTGATTGAGTAGTCATGTCTGGAAGAGGTTTGCCAGCACGTCGGAGAGCTGCTAACCCAATTTCCGTAGTTCCGTTGCCGTAGGAAACGCCACCAATTGAACATTTTCGGAATTCCATAACGTTGCAAGTGAGAGTACCAGTTTTATCCGAGAAAATGTACGAAATCTGCCCAAGCTCCTCATTTAGCGACATAGAGCGAACTAGTGTCGGCGTGTCCGTGTCAGGATGGTAAATGTTGATGTCCCATTGGATAAACTGAGCTTGGAGATATTTAACCATACTCATGGAGACAGCTAGCGAAATGGGAACAAACTGGTACATGAGTAACAAGTAGTAGAACCACATGATGATCCAGTCCACGACGACGCTGTTTTCTGACGCGGTCAGCTGGAGGTACCACAAGGAGTCATGGTTTGTCTTCCATGTCACCGCTCCTGTAGCACCAACCGCACTGAAGATGACCAAAATCGCCAGCAACACGACCGTGTACTGGTTAATAGACCGGTCCATTGAGCTCATTTTTGATGGAGGGGCAGAGTTACTCATCATGATCTTCGTATCCTTGCCGGTGTTGAAGACCACACCGTGCACCCAGTCGGTGTTGCGAATGATACATCCACGTAGGATAATACTTTCATACGGAATGGAAGCCTTTTCCTTTCCCTCGAGCTCGAGTACACCTTGAAAACTGTTGATGGCATTGTTCGGGTGCTCACACCGAATGGCACCTTTCATTCTTAGCAAATTGTCAACTGAGCCCATGTCTGCAAGTGTGCATTCCATGGCAGATCGGACTTTCATATTGGTTTCTCCATCCAACGACTTCGTTTCAACGTAGCAAATACCACACGGTGACTGGTTCGGAATTTCACTCACCGCCAGCACGAGCATGTCGGCCGGTACCAGTCCACGGTTGGTAACTTTGATAATGTCGCCAACCACGACGTCAGCCCACGTGACCTCTTTAAATGTATTAGTTTCGCGATCAAGCACGAGGGTTGGACTTGCATTGGCAATATTGTCGGCTTGATGACGCTTGTGGTCTTCGAGTATAGCGAACACGGCATCAACCGTGATGATGAAAACTAGTGGAGGTAACGTCGAAGGATTTCCATTCGTGTTACTGATCTCAGGGATGCATTGCAGGATGCAGATGACGAGGAAGTAGAGATTGGAGAGTTTACGAAAGCTCTCAAATAGGAACTTTGGTAAGAAACTCGCGATGGTGTATTTGGACGTAACGATGAAGTTATTGCAGTAGCCGGCTTCGATGTTGCGGTGTGCGTCATTAAGATAGACCACACGGAAGTCCCCGGCATGCCCTGCCGTTCCTTCACCCATGGCACAGCCACAACCAGAGAGACAAGCAGGAAATAAGGAGGAAGAGCCGAGTGCTGCTGCGATCGGCAGAGTGAGGTCGCACGATGCAAAATAACGGTCCACCACTTTGAATAGACCAGGACGAGCACGGTGCGATGTGAAGCAAGGAGTTTCGCGACAAGAAAACCAACTATTTTTACGGTGGAGCGTCTAGCTAAAAGCGATGGAGTTGCTGTCCGTCGACTTCATGGCTGTAATGGTTCTCGAAGCAACTTGTACAGTACAACAACTAGCGCTTTTGTTATTAATACTACCCAGTATCTAAAGCGACAGGGGTCTGTTCTCACCTCTCCGTTGTTGAAATGATTTGCATACAAAGTTTGTGCCGAAGTTGCCTTTCACTTAACTTGTCGAACTCAACAAGGTGCAGAATGATGGTCTGCTTCAAGTGCGGATATCTTCTTTCCGTCTCACTTTCGAATTTGCCAGCCCAGATACACGTCGATGAAGACACAGCGCACTCACCGGCGCAAACTGAGCTTCGCCTCCTCGAAAGATGCCGCCCCGGTAGCGACCGTCAAGGTCGAGTGTGCCCCCGAGCGGCCTATAAAGCGACGCAAGCGCCAGTCATACCGTCGTTTTGTCAGTCCGGTGCCGATACGACTCGAAAACAGCCTCCCTGCAGCCATGTGGGGCAACATTCAAGAGCAATTCGCAGCAGCCAAGAGCCTGGGGGACATGTACGTCTAACGATACTGCCGTAGAAGGAGATACAGCTGACGTGGAGCCGTGATGCCAACCAGAACGCGCATTGTGTTGCAGTTCTTCACAGCGCACGAGAGCCTCCAGGGCTCTTCGACCGGACCTGTGTTTCCCATCTTCGTTCCGTCCAGTGGGATCTACAAGATGAAGGGTAGGACGTGCACATTTCGTCCTGGTGATATTTGACCTGATGATCGCTACGTAGTGCCGAGAAAGAGACGCATCTACGACGTACTGCACGTGCTGGAAGGTATAGTTTCTGTGGGTTTCTAGGAAGAGGAACGAGGGTATGAGAACGTTTACGACTACAGGGATTGGAGTCATCAAGCGGGTTCGCTACGACGATAGACGCCGGACAAACGGAGGCTACTTCTTGTACTATGGGAAAGCTGCGGTGGTGCAATATCTGGCGGAGATGAAGAGCAACTCGGCTCAAGTGATGGCAAACTTCCGAAAATCTCGTCGATCTAAGCGGACCAGCATTGTGGAAGAAGACAGTGCTCTTATGAGAGTTTTCGAGGACCAGGCGGCAGCTGGCAAGTGGCCGTGCTTGGTGAATATGACAGTCTGCTTCCTGGGCTTGCTGTTTCAGCAAGACTGTCAATATGAGGTGGGATTACCCACCTTAAGTGCCCGTCTCGGTGAAGCAAAGAAGTTTATTGGTACTTTGCTGTCGAACTCGTCCACAGAGGCTCCTTACCGTGACGTGCACCGCCGGGTGTACGATGTGGTGTCCGTGCTGGTGAGCTGCAATATGATATCGACGTCATCCGCACCTTCTTCCGAGCCTATGGACAAAGGTTTGCGAAAGTTCATCCGATTCAACTACGACATTTTCACGGACCCACGGATCCTGTTTGCCGCATCTGACTCCGTGGAGCAGTGGGTCGGCGAGACGAGCGATGAATCGATGTTTGGTGATATGGTGACCAGCTTGTGTGACCTTAAGAGCCCGAAGCCGGAGGTTCTAGATGACCGCATGGCTTCTACTCCGCTGACTTACTGGCAAAGTCTGCACAAAGGAACATCTTTGACTGGCTCGACAGTATTTTCACCGGTGACCATTCTACAGTCCGAACTGCTTCCGTACAACGAAGGCAAGGAAGTGGGTTTACAGCGCGGCTCAAGCTCACCGGGAACCGTCGCGAGATGTCGACCAGAGGAAGCAGCACGTGTTCAAGATTTCTTTTCTCCTCTGGGAAGGTTGCCGAAAGAGAACAATGACTGGTGTGTCGAGTCACTGAAGCAACTCGGACTGTACGATGCTCTTCCTGCCGATGACAAAATCGATTGGGAGCTGAACAAGCAGTTGAAGGAAAACTATCGTGAGATGTGGGGCTGCCAGTACCCAGGAACAGCTTCAGTCGAGTTGCAACCGGTTGACAGAATGAAGGTGAGGGTGGTAGATCTCGAGTGCTATGAAGTACTGGATGGTGACGTAATTGGGAACACCGCCAATTTCTTTTGCTGATCACGCCGCTGTGGTCGGAGCTTGATTTTGGCGACTGCGTAACTTCACAACACACTTTTGCAAGTCGGTTATATTGTTTGCACTGCGTTCACTTGCAACTGCATCGCTACAGCACTCCACAAATGAAGTTGGATTAAGCAAAACTCGACCGTCGAACTGCCAAGAGGATTCAGACTCCCAGCCAACGCTTTTTGATTGTGTCGTGGCCCACGTTAACCTTGGTAACATCAGCTTCCGAATCAAGCGAGATTACAGTGGTCTCAGGTCCGAATCTCGTCCTAGGAACCGTAACGAGTTGCAACGGTGTCGACCAAGTCGGTGCAACATGTTCAGTCCGCAGATTGCAGTTTTCTTTTTCATGAACCACTTTGCTGCGCTCAGTTACAGGCGCGCCGGTTTTCGAGCTGATACTGGCCATGCCAGCGCATGGCATGGCATGGCAGTATCTGCAAACTTTGTGATTAAGGGATAACGAAGACTTCAGATTGCTCTGCACCATAGACTATGGTCCATAGTCAGTTAGTCAGTTGCTTAGTCTAGCGCCGCCAACCGTCTCACGCTCTCTTCTCAAGGTGAACTTGGCCGTTATTTCTGGTCGCTGGGAGGTAGCTGCACTAGCGCCGCGCTGCTGCTGGAGATCGCATTGCGCGGCATGTATCTGCTCCTTGATCAGATCCAGTTGCGCTTGGGTGGCCCTCTGTTCTACTCGCTCTGTTCTCTAGCTGATCTCGGAGCTCGATGTTTTCGGCTTGTGCTGGCTCTAGCTGATGCTTCACGGTGGAGAACTCGATTAGCAAGTGGCGAACCATTAGGTTTGAACGTTTTGGTGCGTTGGTCCAAGTCAGTGTTGTAGCTCACTTCCTTCAACGGGCATCAACTCCAATAATGTCAACAAATAATGTTACTGTATCACTTCAACTTGGACGATAAAAAAGGCAACAGAATTACATGCAAGTAAAAAAATGCTTTGCTTCTACGAGTATTGACTTAACGCTGTTGCCAATTTATTGGAGAGCTGGACTCACTGCTCATGAGGACCGTAAACGTGCTGACGTAGCTTGGCGCTTGTTCTCATCGCATCATTCCGTAGGTAGCGCTTATAAATCCTTGCAGAGACTTTATCGTACTTCATCCAGTACCCACAGGTCAAAAATCGCTTGGTTTTGATGCCCGGACGCGAGAATCGAACGGTCGCCTTTGGTGGCCTGCGAATAACTTATTTCGGTACGACTCGAGCATTCTGCACCAAGCCACATCTCGAGCCTTTCATAGGGAGACTCCATTCTCTTTTCTAGGAAATACATATCAAGCTCTGTGCCCTTGAGTAAATGCGTGTGTGTCCCGTTTCTCTTTTCCTGGCAAGCAGCTTCACACCTGCGACTCCCGCGGCTTGCTCCCACTCGCAAGTGCCTCACCGTGTGAGGCCCACGGTCTTGTACACAACCACACTCCGGTGATACGATGGTGCGTGTCGTGTCCAAGCTGGTGTATATGGGATGTTTCAGGAGTGTAGTGCGCCAAACAGGGTGTAGGCAACAATCAGCGAGAGCACGGAGCAGCACTTCCTACTTAAATGGACGCACTGCATGCAAATAAATGCATCGATAAAGTCTCATCCACGTTAATGCTGACAAAGTTTTTGCGGCTTATAGATGAAGCAAAGACAACTGTCGACGGAACTTCATTCTCGTTTTCTACGAGTTGACTTTTATATGTTCGGCGGGGTTAATATACCGGAACTTTTAAATCCATAAGCCGCTGCTGCTCAACGGAATATCCGTGACACCAGAGCAACTCAAGAAGCCACTCGAAACACTATCACCATCGTCATCTTCCCAGTCATCCTCCTCCCAGTTCTCTTCCTCCTCCTTCTCACTATCGCTATCATCTTCATCTTCCGTGTCCAAGCCGCTGGCTCTTCGTACGATTTTCACAGCCTGCTTCTCTGCGGCATGGGATTCCAGAATCAACGACTCGGCACGATTGCGTGCTAATGCCGCTGCAAGCTGACTCGCAACGAACGCCGGCACATCGTTTGCATCCAGAGTCAACGTTTCCAAATGAAAGTTGACGTCCAAAGCGTCTAGTAGTGCCTGGGCTCCCACCTTCGTGACCCGGTTGTGAATCAGTTCCAGAGATTTGAGTGCGCAGTTGCAACGAATGGCCTGAGCGAGCGCTGTAGCGCCACGATCCGTTATCAAGTTGCTTCTCAAACACAGACGCCTCAACGAGTCGTGTCCGTACAGTGCTTGTGCCAATGCTTCAGCTCCTCGATCACCGATGTTGTTGCCGTACAGATCCAGATACTCCAGAGTCGTGTTGTTACACAGCATTTTCGAGAGAGCGACAGCTCCATCGTCTCCGATAGCATGATCCCGGATAATAAGCTTCCGAACAGTGTGGTTGGTCGACAGAGAGCGTGCCACAAGAGCGCATCCTTCAGCTTGTAGCCGTTTATTGCGCTTCGCGAGGGTGGAGAAGTCCAGCTCGCTGACATCACCATCGTTGAGATGGATTCGCTGCAAGATCGAGCCCAGCGTCGGGCCTGTGCGCAAGACATAAACAGCATAATGAGTCAACACCTTTATCACAATCAACAAAGGGATAGCCTCCACTGACCTTGCACCCGTGAAATGTACTTGGACTGCGGCATCTTCTCCGGCGAATAACTTGATCGATTTTCTTTGCTCACACGACGGGATAGTGGTGGCTTGCCAACACAATTGGTCTTACTTTCAGAGGATGATACGCTGAATATGGAGCTCACGGACGATGATGTTCCAGTTGTGCTTGTTGACGACGGAGCTTGCTCCGCTTCCGACTTCTGGAATTCGTCAACGCTTTCTGAGCTAGCAGATTGATTGCACTCTGGGTTATCGTCTGCACTTGCATCGTTGACAGTGGGTACTGGATTCAACTCGTGCTCGTGCTGGTCCTCATTCTTCTCTTTGCCGTCGCCAGCAGCTTCGGTCTCCGTCTCCTGGTTGCAACTCTCGCTTTGCGCCACCGATAAAGATCCACAATCAGCGCTGCTGCGCTTGTCATCACAGCCACGATCAATCTCCTTGACGGTAGCACCGGGGTCCTCCATTTCCGGGTCAAGCTCTAGATTTTGAATCCGTGGTGCGACCTCGACGGAACTGGCGGGATTCCCATTCTCTGGCTGTGCATCGTGGCTGACTTTAGCCTGAGCAACGGACTTGGATCGAAATATCAAGCGCCTGGGTCGGTCTCCCAGCAATTGGCGCCAATAGCGCTACGGTCGACAATTTAAAAAAAGCACCGGTCAACGTCACGCAGGACAAGAATAAGATGCTAAAGTCCAAAACTCAGATGAAAACCGAGAATACAAACCTCGAGGTGGACCTTGGCACGACGGAGATTGATGTCGGGCATCAGTAATGCCATCTACGCCGACTTATCGGCAGTGCTGCTTGCTCCTGACCACTCCGTTTCGAAAAACTCGAACCTTCGCTCTCTAACAAGGCAAAGCACGCACGGAACTCCGATGGGGATGCTGGCTGAAACCACACAAAGCCTTCATGTCCCCAGTAACTCACAAGAGAGAGAAACGGCTTCCATCTGTATGATGGACAGCACTGCGCATCAGCGTGAGCACAGCCCGAATGTCCTCTCCCGCGGTAGTTGAGAAGGAATATGACAGAGATGTCAAGACGAAAACAAGATGCAACAACAAAAGTAAAACTACTCAACGTCTTCACATGTTGAAAGAGAAAACTGTTCTGGTCTTTCGATACAGATATACGCCTTGGGGGCGTTTACTTAAAACTGTTCTTGTCACCTGGCTGCGGCCTTGACTTTATGCTCAACTCGCAGCGAGGGATACATGTCGTCACGCCATTTTTACCTCTTGCGGCTCTTGTTGATCTCGAGAATGATGGCTTGCAACTCGATGCACTGCTCACGCATCAGTTCCAGATCGTATTTCAGGTTGCGGTTCTCGATCTTAAGCATCGAGTTCTCATCCTCCAACGAGATGCCGCTCGAGCTCGAAGTACTGCCACTACCGCTACGCGGCTTCATGAAACTCTTGGCACGCGCCGACAGTTCATTCAGACGCTTCACGCTGCCACGACGACCGGAGTGAGCCACCTTGAACGACTCCATCCTGTCCGCAATTGACCGGCCGCGTCCAGCACGGATCGAAGCCGGATCGTCGCCAAAGCCCTCGTCGGCATCCGAGTCGTCAATGTCGTCAATCTCATCCACCCACTGACCACCGTTGTTGTAGTCCTCGTATTCAGGCTCAACGGGGATAGATTTGTACCTCTTCCAACCACGCTGAATCTTGATGATCGCACGACGCTGGAAGTGATACTCCTTAAAGTCCAATGACATGCGAGCATATGACTGCAGTACAATAGCAGCACGGATCTTGTTGCGCAGACGGCGACGTTCCAAGAAGCCCAAGACGATACGCTGAATAGTACGTGCTTCGTAGTACATGAAGTCGGACTTCATGGCCTCCAGCTCTTCCATGACACCGTTCTTGAAGTAGATCAGCGTCTTACCCATCTGGTATTCCAGCGGGGATTTCCGACCGATCGATGTCATGAAAACGCTGCACGTACGACGGACATCCTTGCTGTGCATGGACGGCGGGAACATGATGGCGTATCGCGTAGCGAGTTCCTTCGGGGTTAGACGACTTGGGTAACCAGAGCGAGTAATACGAATGGCTTCGATCACACCGGCCGATCGCAACTGCTCCACGATCATGCGCTTGTTGAACTCCGTCGGACTCTTGTTCGGGTTGGGCTTAATGCAACGCACGTAGTGAGTGTTGGTGGTCTTGATGTTGTCCATCAATTGCGCCAGCGACGTCTTGAACTGCGAGCCTAGACTCTTCGGGGCCTTCTTGCCACGTCCACTGCCACCTTCCGTGGTCGCCTCAGCGTCTTCGAAAAGCTCCGGAAGCAGCGAAAGACTGCTGAGCTGGATCAAGTCAAGCAGATCCTTCTGCAATGTATCGCGGTGTTTCTCCATGAATCCCACCGTCTCGTACGTGACGGAACCAGCGTAGTGGTTGATGATGAACTGCGTACGCTTCACCTTGGGAAAGTCAATACTCTCGTTCACACCGCCACCCTTCTTCGTCTGATGGTTCGTGCGGATCTTGTTGACCAGAGCCTCTTCTGTGTCACGGGGCTGACGAAGGTGGTCGTTCATTAATGCAATGATACCCATCTTACCTTCGATCACCTCCACGATACCTTGGTTGTCCTGGTACTGGATGTGATCCCACTGCAAACCTTCACGGATGTACTCGTCCTCCACAGTCTTGAAGACGTCAGTAGTGAATTTCTGCTGCAGCTTCTCATTCGCGTAGTTAATACAGAACTGCTCGAAGCCATTGTGAACAAAGTCCTCAAAACCAAAGATATCCAGCACACCAATCTGGCCCTTGATGCGGCTCTCGTCCGTGCTGATAGCAGCGTTGATCTTTACCACCATCCAGTCGAACATCTTCGAGTAAATAGTCTTAGCCAACGCGTCACGGTTCTCCGCTGCTTCCACAGGAGCCAGCGGCACCGTCACACTGTCGTTGCGAGTAATGACCGTGCGGTTGCACAGTGCTTCCTCGATTCTCGTGGTGGGAAGACCAAACATCTTGGCAACCTGTGACAGCGCCGAACCACTAGAAATGCGCGACCCGTTCTCCCCACTCTTGTCGAACATGACCTCACCCAGCAGCAGTACACCAGCCAGGATCTTGAACAGCGTCTTTTGCGCCTTGTCGTCCAGTCCAATGATGGACAGCGACTTCTGCGTGCCTGCAAACCACTTCGCGTCGTCCAGACCAGGGATCTGCATTTCCGCGAGGGAACCAGCGTATTGGTATTGGCATTCAGGGTCCAGACCAAACTCCTTGCGCTCACGGCTAGGCAGACCCGCCAAAAGCTGGTAGAAAATGTGGTAGTTGCGCTCACCCTCGGCGATCGACACCACACGCGACTTCTCCAGCAAGTACGTCTCGCACTTGGCACCGATGAGTTTTCCTCGGCCGTCGAACTGCAGCTGCGTGAACTTACCGAACCGCGAACTGTTGTCATTCCGTGTCGTCTTGGCATTACCGAAAGATTCGAGAAGCGGGTTCACGTCAATAACCTTCGCGATAGTCTTGTCCTTGCGGCCACCAGCCACACTGGCCAAGTGGTTCATGACAATCTTGGTCGTTTCAGTCTTACCGGCACCAGACTCACCACTGACCAGGATACTCTGGTTCATTTCGTTAGTCTTCATGTGCTTGTAGGCAGCTGTAGACGTCGAGTACACGTGCGGAGGCAGCGAGTCACGTGGCTTCTTCAAGTACTGCTCGTGAAGATGATCACCATAGAGGTTATCAATCCACTTGTACGGGTTGACAGCGATCACAATGTCGTTGGTGTACGTGTAGGGCTTGGAGGCGGCGAAACGCTGCTTCAAGTTGAACAGAATTGAAGGCTCGTTTAAGTATCGTAGCAAACGCATATCCTCCACGCCCTCCGGGTTATCGTGGAGAATAGCAACGGGTAGCGACTCCACTTCGGTGGCTGTCGGTCCAGCAACTGCGCGAATGACGTCTGGGTTCTTGAGATCCACAACACGCTGCTCCGAGTCTCCTGAGTCCAAGAACGCTGTGATCGTCACTTCTTTTCGGCGATCGTTGTAGTCCACAATCTCGGAGAGTAGCCACACTTCCTCCTTGTCAGGAATATAGCACTGCACACCTGGCACGATCAGATTCTGCTTGTTGCTGGCACCTGCAGCCTGTTGACGGAGCTGTTCCTCCTTAATTTCTAGCTGCTCGTGCATGAACGCCTTGCGCTTCTTCTCCAAGCTGAAATTGTTGCGTCGACGCTTAGGAGGCACCCAGTACGTCTGACGCTTACGAACGTAGTTGCCGCGACCTGTGGAACGCTCAATCATGTGGCGCGGCTTGAACGGTGTCGGGGCTGCAGGAGTAGGTGCATTAAATGCTGTCTTGGAAGCTGATCGGCCACCAGCCGGAGCGTTCTTCAACGGGTTAAAGGCACCAAACGCCGGCTTTGGCGGCGCAGCCGCAGATGTTGTCGCAATTGACGGCACCGAGTTCGTTGACGCCAGGAAAGCAGCCAGCTTGCTCTGTGATCGGGGTTTCGTCGAGGAAGCAGGTGACGCGGACGGTTGCTGCTTCATGAAGTCGTTAAGCTTGTTGCCACCTCCAGTGTTGACGGTTGGCTTCGAGGGAGCAGGGGCAGACTTGTCAGGCTTCGGACTACTGTTGCCCTGAGTGAAGACAGCCTTGCGCTGCGCGAACTGGTCGCTTGACGTGCCACGTCCTCGGACAGGAGCAGACTTGGGTGGGGAAGGTGGCTTATTACCTGCAGACCCGGTGTACGGGCCCGTCGTCTCGACAGCAGGCGGGTTGGACTTCATGAAGGCTGCGAACTTGTTACGGGCGTCACCGCCAGTCGGTTGGGACTTGGGGGGCTGCTTGGGCGACGCTGGTCTCCTCACAGTCGGCTGGGGCTTTGGTGCCGGCGGCTTCCTCGCGGCATTGGCCTTCTTGGGCGGACCTGATGGACGCTCAACGTGCGTCAACGGGGAGCCGTGTGACGCCGGCACTTGGTTCAAGAAGGCGTTCAAACGGTTGGCATTGGCACCTCCGCTGTTGCTCCTTGTGTCCTTCGGAGGTGGCTCCACAGGCGTCGAAGGCGGGGAGTTTGAAGGAGACACTATTCCCGCTCCAACTTGCGGTGACATTGGTGGAGGCGTCGAAGGGGGCGTTCTCTCGGGGGATTTGTCCACCACCTTCTTGCTCGACTTCTTTTTTCTTGATAAAAACCCGCCTTTCATGAAATTCGTGAGTTTGTTGTTACTGTTCGTCTTCTTGACAGGTGACGTGCCCTGCGAGCTGCCTGTGGACGTCATGGACTCTGCATCTGATACTGGATCCTCTTCGTACTCGCCCGTGTAGCCGATAGTGCCGAATCTGTCGAACAAGATGGAGAGCGTCTCAAGCACGGTAGTAAAGTCGGCGCCGGCGTCCAGTAGATCGTCAGGCTGGAAGATTTCGCCCTCGTTTAGACCCTGCTTCTTGCACCATTCGAGGAAGAGACGAATATTGGCTTTCGAGTGGAAAACCGTGTTGAGCTTGTTCACTTTGAGATTGGCCGTCGGGTCCACACCATTAGCGAGCAGACACAGTAACTGGCCGTCGCGAAGCATAACCGACAGGTGCTCGCCATGATCGTTGGCCGTGGCTGTGACGCTACAGATCCACTCCTGCAGCTCCTCTGTGCGGCGCACCGTCATGCTGAAAAAGAGACCGACTCTCGACTAGATTGCGTCTGTTGTCTAGCTGGAGCCCGTGGGAGAATAAGACGAAGAGGGAAGAGCCTCGCTGGTCTCCTTTGGCCTCTCGTAGTAGAGCGCAAGTTCGCGATATGAGCGGCTTCGGGACAGTGCACGCCTCTCGACACGCGACGACGAGATTTTCCGCACTACCAACACGACTCGACGCTGCACGACTTGCTCCACTTGGCGCTGGACCTAACGGAAACTGACTCCTGCAAATTGCTGCCAATCGCGAGTTGCCTTTTTGGCAGAGAAACCTTCCCCTTCTGTACTCTTTTACCACTTACAAAATCCTACTTACAGGGCCTCGCCAGCTGTTGGGAAAGACTCTGAGACCAACGAGAAGGCGACAACCTGCTGCTGAGCACGGTGAAGATGCCGAGACATACACTCACGTCGCTAAATATCCGTAGGTTGGAAGCGAGTTTGAAGCCAAATACGATGAAGTACCCGTGAAGCTAACCTGCTAGTTGCTGGATAGCGCACGTTTCGAATGGATATTTGATGCCGTTCACGGAGCCGTTATGGGGGAGGAATGGTAACAACACAAGATGTTGGCAAACTGCCGCAACTTTGTGCCTCAAAAGTGCTGGCATTCGTTACTAAGGTAACTAACCCTTGCTCACATTGACATTGACTGCAAAGCCTATCGGGCTAACAGGATGGCATGACTCTTCCATCCGCGGAAGTGGAAATCTCCGGTCAGTAAACAGCAACTCGACTTGCCACAGGATTTCATCGTTGCCATCGCCACAAACTTTGTGCTTTGTGACAAAGCACCAGCTAATATTGCCAATCAGAGCGAACCCACGTCTAGTCTGCTATCTCTGATCCTATCCGGAGGCAATCGACATCACAAGCCAGAAATTGGCAATTGAATTTGTGAACGCAATTTGCCTTAGGCAACTGCCTCACATAAGCACCAAAATGGTGGTCTGACACCGAGAAGCCAGACTCATCAAATACTTCAGAAGTACCAGGAAACTTGAGTCAAGTCAAAGTCGATATTTTCCACTGCAACTGCTGCAAACGTAACATGGCTACACCGAAAACGATTCAGCTTTATCGTCAGCCAATCAAACGCCGTCTTGAAGTTGGTTCGACAGAAGATCGTCTGGTTTGGGTAATTGTTTATTGAGAGAAGAACGATGCGACTCCTGCGGCTAGTGCTCAGCTTCGCGGTGCTGCTGTCCACGACCAAAGCCAGCATCTTCGCGGGATACACCGTGGGTCGACAATTCCAGTACATCGGCAAGTTCTGCTTCTCCTGGACGTCTACACTCGACGACATCGCGGGGGTACGACTAAAACCTAAAGCGAAATATCCAAATCCTTCTAACCTTAACATTCATCCTTTCTAACGTTGCTACCAGCGCATTGCGGGCGAGATCGAGACGGACGTGGATGGACTCCAGGTCGCCATCTACGACGACGAAGCGCTCTTCTGGAACTTCGTCATGACCGACATCTCCTGCGACTGCTATTGCAAGGTCTCTGCCCAACACACCAAAGGCGTCTTTAACGTGACTGCCACCAATAGTCACCACGTAACTCCGTTCACCTTCAACGTGGACATCCGCGAGCATCTACGACCAAGGTTCTGGTATGTAGCGCTCGCACGTTGTGTACCGGGAGGGGACCAGTACAAACCCTCCTTCACAGAGATCACAGAGACCAACTTTCGCAAATACTACTTCTCCTCATGGTTTAAAATCCACATGACGCAGGGAGATGGGAGTGAGCTTCCCGTGCAACAACAAGGGCTGCCAGCCATCTACGCAGTCATGGCGGCGGTGGCAGGAGCTGCAGCAGCGGCACAACTTGTGGCAGTGCGGCGCATGAGACAAAGCGAGTCATTCCACCCGATCATGCGGATTTTGACGCTAGTGGTGCTGTTTTTCTTCCTGTGCAACGCGCTGCTATTCATTCACTTTACTACGTACGAGTTCAACGGTCTGGGGGTACCGTTTTTCAAGTACGCGGCTAGGATCACAGACGTATTTGTCCGCGTGGGCACCTTATTACTGGCCATGGTGATCGCAAAAGGGTGGACAATCAACAGCGTCACACTGGATGGCCAGATCAAGCTTTCGTGTGTTATTCTAGCCATTCTCGTGCTGTATTTGTCCATGGCGATGTGGTATCTCGTGTGGCTCGACCCAGCGTCGACGTTGTACATTTACGACTCGTGGCCGGGACTTGGCATTTGCTTGTTGCAAGTGTGCGTGCTAGGTTGGTTCGTCAACACCATTCTAGAGACGCGCTCCTACGAGAAAGCCTCGACAAAGCGGTATTTTTTCCTCAGAGTAAGTACTGGAAGTGATACTTGTTATCGGACGAATCCTGTACTTACTCCGCGATTTTCAGATGTGCTGCCTGTTTTCGGTGTATTTCGTAGCCCTGCCTATTATCGTGCTCGTTGCTTCCTTCTTGTCGCCGTGGGTGCGTGAGAAGACCGTGGCTGCCATGACGACCTCAGTGCACTGCTTTATCTACTTGTCTCTCATTTACACGCTGTGGCCGACTAGAGCACCACGCTACTTTGAGGTACGGAAACAACTGCATTTGTTGGTGGGACTGGCAGGATCGCTAAGTTTCATTGGTGTCGAACATGTAGCGCCTCTATTCCGTGTCGTCTCCATCCGAGAAAGCGTCGTTGCGTGACCAGCATCTCCCGACCGAAGAACTTTAAACCGCTCTCACTGGTAGTGATGCTCTCCAATTTGACGTAGCTAATAGTTGTTTTTTTTTTTCGTTCCAGTCGATTCAAAACACATTGACGCAGTTCTACATGATGGTCCTGTTGAGATGCATTCTTGTCTTCCAGTACAGTGTGAGCGTTTGAGTCTCCAGGTGCGCCAGCTGTGAGAGTGCACGGAGAACTTCGTCGGTGCAACAAGCCGAGTTTGGGTCTTCTATACTTCTGATTTTCAAAGTCAAATCCTGTGAAACAAACCAACACACACGAAATTAGCAAGACCGAAACAGCAGTCTGATAAAGCGGCAAACAAACCTCCAGGAGATTATCAAGATCCGCTATAGGCTCCAATATTTCGCTGACATCCAGCGCTAGCTCATCAGAGCGGTCTTCTTCGTTGATTCCTGTAGGGCTTCCATCGTTCCAGTTATTGATCGTCTCCAGAACCAGGGCTCGCATCTGCGCGATATGACAGTGTAAGTATTCCTAGAAAATGAGAGATGAGTTACAGTAATGACGAATACTTACCGCAGAGAGATCGGCCACGTCGGAACATTGAATAGTGAGGTCAACTGATCGTTGTTGGTCTTCTGAAGGAGTGAAACGAAGGAGTATGAGGCTTCCGGAAAAGGCTCGTAGTACCGTCCAGAGCTTCCCATGCTGTGTTCGGCAGCTACGACGCAATCGTGGAACCTCAGCAGAGGGTATCTCCAGGAGCTGACGCAGGAACGATACCATCCTCTCGAGGCGGAGTTTTTCAAAATTCTCATCTTCATCCTCGTCATCCTCGTCGTCTTCGGTGGCAAAGAATGAAGGGATGGCTATAACAAATCGGGACGGAGGAGTTAACGCCAGAGGTGCAGCGTCAGAAGGCGAAATTTTTGACCATAACGCTGCGAACGATGGATTCCTATGAGCATGGTCAGTGAGTGCAGCCCACCACTGCACACCACTCCAGAGAACAGACGAAGACGATTTTCCCTCTTTGGTTGCTCTACCGACTGGCATGAACGGCTCGTGGCTTTGGCGGAATGCAGCGTGAATGGCAACTTGGCTGGTTGGAATCTCTTCCTCGATGGGCCGACTCAGCTGTGCGAATAGGAATCTTTTGTCTTGAAGCAGCGGAATTGCGAACGACAATGGATCATCCTGAGCAATAATACTCGCACCAATATGGCTGGTATTGGACCGTTCATTTTCTGGATATCCATTTCGTGAAGGGCAAAATACCATCGAACACGAGACCCACAAACTTCCCTGGTCTTGCTGTGTGAGTGTATCTGGATCGAGGATAATGCTCTGTTCTCCGCGCGCTGTTATATCGTTCAGCGGAAAGGAACAAGTCGTGATTGAACGTTGATGAGTACGCACGTACAGACACAACCACCTATGCCCGCAAAAACATGGATTGAGTGCCAAGATTCTTAATGAATGTTCATGTGAATGAATGATGCACAACAGCAGCCACGTACCAGTCGTCAAGTGAGATAATAGCTTCGGGATTCACGAAACCAAAGGAGCAAACCAGTTGTATCGCCTGTCGATCTGAAAAGATCCCAGTCATTGTCATCGAGGCATTCAAGTTGCACTTGACCACAGACTCCACACCTGCAAGGAGACACAGCAACAATTACCAGTTGAGACGCACAGATGCTGCTGATATCATGACCGATAACACGAACCTGTAGTTTCGACAAGCCGAAGTGTTTCCAAAGCAGAGTGCAATGTCTTGAGCTGGAAGTCCATTTGCTTCGATTTAGTGCGCAGATTAGTTGACTCGGAGGAAATTTCAGCGATTCGATGCAAAAGATTGCGAACCCGAGACTCACTCCCTAGTTCGGATGACTTTCCACATTTATGGTTTTGTTGTTGTCCAGATAATGGTAGTACACTTGTTACCATCGTGTGAAGAGCTGTGTTATTGATTGTTGTGATCCGCCCTGACGCAAACAGAATTGACAAACCACCTTCACTGCCATGAGTTGCTAAGCGGATGATACCCTAAATCTCACGCATACCTCGTCAACTCGGATTTCAACTCAACGAGCAAAGGGAAGGTGGATGACACGTACCAGTTGAAGGGGTAGCTTTTCAGTAGAAACATTTGAGCCATCACTGAGGCTAGTAGGCGCGTTTGAATCTATGGATTGAGCTTGAGATAGTAAATCGGTGCTTCGACACACAAACGCTGACCCAGTCGAGCAAAAGGCAAACACTGCCAAACGATATACAAATACCAACGACTGTACTGCGCACCCAAGCTCCAGCTTCTTCACTGAACCAGAAAGGGCTTCCACCGAGCAACTTTTCTTCACTTCAACAATCCTGATCCTGCCTCGAGCACCCAGCACTAGCAGTGCATCAAACACTTGAGATGTCGCTGTTGCACCATTTCCTTCCGAGGATGTAGTTGCAGACGACGAGAACGGGACGATCATCTGAACCGGCTCACCCAGCCGAAGCAACATACCACTGCGAATTACGGACGCCTTGATACCACCTCTTTTCTTATTTGGATAATGCACCAATGAAAAACGTACATAGCCATCCAAATCTCCCTGTAGAATAGCGGTCACACCCCAGTCGGTCGCCACGTCCGGAAACAAACGCCTCAAAAGTCCACAATGATTCGCCATCTGATCATTCAAACAAAGTGTGCAAGTAGACTGTTCTCCTTCGAGCTCGCCCAGCTCCAGCGATTGATGACGCTGCAACTTCGACCCGGAGCTCCCGTAAGTGCTCACGATCAGCGTGGTCGGTGTCACCAAGCTCCTCATCAGCGTCAGCGATGACAACCCGGGTCCAGCAGGAATGTGACTCACGGATTGCACTCCAGGCAGTTGACAGAACCATTGGACCGATTTGTCATCATTCTCACAGGACGAGCGTTCCAGCAGCAACTCACGTGTCACCCCAAGCTGCAGATGACCAGGCAACGTCACGACCCACACATTTCCGTCTGCAGTGGATACCAGGAGCTTGTGACGAGCTTCACCGTGTTCAGAATGATGGCCGCCATAGTCTGCGACGTCCGTGATTGGCACATTGGACCTGATCACACACTGAAAGAGGATTATAGACTTGCTTTAAGGATCACTGTTGCGATTCACTTACCCGCAATAGATTGGCAGCCAGGAAATGCAGCAGCGTTGGGCGGATTTTCACGACGATGCATGCGCACGGAGGTGCATTGTCTGTTGTGTCATTATTGGTGCGTAGAGTTAACAGGAGCGGCAAGCAGTCAGCCACACGGGCCAATTGTGTCGACGAGCTCGCCATTCCAATTTTTTTATAACTAGCTGGGCAACATCACTGGCAAGAATTTTTTTTTCAGAAAAAAGTGCTTTATGACGTTTTCAGATTTTTTTTGAATTCCATTCCGATTCATGTCCTTAAAGCCAGGAGCATTCAGACGAAAAAAACATTAAAAATTAAATGTTTTTTTTTCGTCTGAATGCTATTCCGGCCAATCAGATCTCCCATGGCAGTCAACCAACACAACTTAAATGGGAATGGAAAAATATTTCGAGAGATCTGAATGCCATCCAACGGCAAGCGACGTGATGTTTCAGGGACGATAATCGCCCAAAACTATGTACTATACACAATTTTGGGCGCCCTGGCCAATGATTGTAAAAAACTATTTCGGTTATTTCCGATATAAAATAGAAATATTTTTTTGTTATCTTTTATGCGATAACCTGTTTATACAATATGGTTGAAGTACTGCTTCATATCGATTAATAGCCCCTACTGAAGCCCTATGATGGAGGGCATTTGGTGGATAAAGTGATAGCGTCTCTTGCTCTTTCGCGGATGCAGACGGGATCGCTAGACGCTGCTCGACGCTGCCGCCGCTCTTCTTTAAGTATTGCAGCACGCACAGCCACCGCGACGCTCACATTGATGTACTGGTCGTCACTATATAGAGATCGTGCCTTGTAATAGAGGTGGTTCAAGTCATACAAATCTGGAGTTGATAGATGCAGCTGTTTCAGGTACACATACCACATAAAAAGAAAAAAATATTTATATAGTTTTTTGACCATCCCTGCCCACGCGTCTCTTTGCCGTAAGATCGACTCGCCATGGTCAAGACAAAGTCAACGACTTCCATTGGAGGCAAGTAGCGAACGACCAAAGGTAAAAAAAAATAGACCTGTAACGATACGCACCGCTACCCTCATAAGAAACAAAGTCTGATTAAACGGACGTTCTTGACTATCATGTATTTAGCGCGTAGCGTAGCGGACAGCCACGTCACATCAAATACAACAGGTATGTGTATTACTTGATTCTGTTATTACCAGGGAGTTGTGTTTCTTTAGTGCTCTATACGTCATCGACCCCTTGGCGATTCTCGCGTCCAAGGCTGTTACATTCAAAATCGAGTACAAAGTTTTCTATGAGGACGCGCAGGGCTCCATCGAGCAGAAAACTCCCACGCACATATCCAGCGAGCTCAAGACCTCGACAGAAGCATCAAACGTCAATGCTACTACAAGCACAGAAACGAGATTGCAACAGGACTGCTGTGCTCGGGACGTGAAGGCAGCGAAATGTCTTCGCTGTAAGTAAAATATTATGACATAAGAGTGACTATATCTAACAATTAAGAGTTGCTTATCACAGTTAAGCACCTCAAGGCGCTGCACGTGCTCCAAGCTGCACATGCCCGCAGCTTTAAGAAAAGCGAGAGTCGCAGATGTGGTGTAGCGATTTCCGAATAATCGCTGAAGTGGCTACATTCAAGTTGCTCAAGCCACGAACGCTCAAGAAAGGACAACGAGGTGCAAGAAAAGCAAACTTCAGTGTAGGTGACTTCGTTCTTCACTCACGAGTGGACCAGAAACACCAGAACAAGATGTTGGTGACATGGAACGAACCGTTCCAAATCGCGAGAGCAGACATGTATTCGTTTGCAGTCAAACACCTTGTCATGGGTGCAGAGTCGGACGTGCATGCGTCTCGGCTAAAGTACTATGCTGACGAGGACTTCGAGGTGACTGAGGAGGTTATCGAGCATGTTGCATCTCAAGGGATTGTACTGGCGGTTGCTGAGCTTAAGGAACACAGGTGGTGCGCGCCAGCTGTGAGAGTGCACGGAGAACTTCGTCGG